AAGAGACAGCTCTCTCTCTCTCTCTCTCTCTCTCTCTCTCTCTCACACACACACACACACACACACACACACACACACACACACACACACAGTGAACTCTAAGAAGCCCCGGAAATACAGCCTGTTTAAACAGTCCAGTAATTTCACAGCAAGTCAAGGGATTGTGGAAGCGCTGTCTGCAAAGGGCTCTGCACAAAGAAACCAAGGACTGGATTGCTTGGGTCACTTCGCTGCTTCCTTCCAGAGCAGCGGCACCTGACGTGGAAGTGAATTGTTTCATTTTAAACAAAGGAGGAGTCCACTCACTCATTCTTCTCCAGGTCCAGGATCAGCTCTCGCCCTTCAGCCAGTACCCTGAGCTCAGCTTTGAGTGGATGCTAAAAGCAACAACAAAAGAATGTCAGTTCCTAAAAGCAGGGTGGAGGCTCCCAGGAACTGACACGGGATCTAGCCTGGAGCTCTGACACTGATCCACAGGAAGTGAGCGCCGAAGGGTCAACTGCATTCCCGGCCCAGACATAAAATAGCGTCAATCCCAGGAGGACCAGTTCCCCTCCCCCATCTGCCTTCCCCTAAAAGACAAAGGGAAGAAAAGTCCAAGCTGAAATGTGGCATAAGTGCTTGCATGCAGGCCCGGTAAAGGCAAATGCTGGAAAACACGATCTTTAACAGTAAATTTTGTGTGGAGTCGCATCTGGATTCAGGTGCTGACTCTCTGGCGCTGCGGTGACCTGAACTTGGGCATGTTACTGGACCTCCCTACAGCTCAGTTTCCTCATTTATAAAACAGAGGTAATAACAGGCAAACTGATGGGGCTCCCGTAAGGATTGACACAGTGAATGTAAAGAATTTATCTGCATGTAGAAAGCCCCCGATATATGTGGCTATTATCTAAAATACCCGAGAAAGCCCCTTCATAGTGGGTTCTCATTTTATATTATTTTGTTTTGGCTCTCAGTTTAAATATCCCCAATCATCTCCGAGGAGAAAACTAGGAGCACTTCAAACTAAGGTTTTATAAATCCAAAAGAAGATACACTGTACATACAAGAGAAAATTTACTGATGCCCAAAGTTGCTATACACTCAGCATAGATCATTTAAGGCATCATACAAATGACCAATAAGCAAGAAAAACATGAACATGCTCAACATCACTAGTAACTGCCCCCTTCCATTTTTTTTAAAAGATACCTTTTAAAAAAATCAAAGTGACATAGATTTTTTTAAAACCATGAATGACAGTGCAGTGAATGGGCACTCTCATACCCTACCAGTGCGAATTTAAATTGATACCACCAACTCACTGGAAAATAATTTGATAGTATGGACTAAGAGCTTCTAAGTGCTTAGACCCTCTGGCCCAGTAATAGAAGGCTATGTCTGAAAGGAACAAATGCAAAAATCAGCAAAGGGTGATTATACAGGATGTTCATTACTTACAATCCTGAATAAAGAAACGTAACCTAAATGTCCAAAACAGGAGAATGGTTAAATAAATGATGATCCATTCATATGACAAAACACTAGACAGTCATTAAAAACAATGACTTTAAATAATTTTTAAATTATCAAGAAGGTATACATGATAATTATTAAGCACAAAGACTCAAAATATAACACTATATGTTTGTTTGTTTTTAATGTATCTTTACTGATTTCAGAGAGAGGAAGGGAGAGGGAGAGAGAGATAGGAAACATCAATGATGACAGCATCATTGATCCCCTGCCTCCTGCAAGCCCCGCACTGGGGACTGAGCCCACAATCTGGGCATGCGCCCTGACCGGGAATCAAACCGAGATCTCCTGGATCTCGGGCTGATGCTCAACCGCTGAGCCACACCCAGCCGGGCTATATATTTTTTTAAATACACTTTTGTAAAATGAAAAAGTAGAGAGAGAAAAACCTAAACCAATAAGTTACCCTAGTTACCTCCAGGCAGTTGAATCATTGTTTAATTTTCTTTTCTTTTATGCAACCTTTCATGTTTTTACAATTGCTTAAGAAATGGGCTTATCTCTTTTTACCTTATTATTGTGGGAAATTTCAAAGAAATTAAATATCAATATCAAAATAAACTTCCGTGCTTCAACAATTCAACATAGGCTGGTTAAACTATTTTTGAAGGAAAAAAGTATTTATTTAAAAGGAGTATTTATATATTTAAACCTGTTTAAAACAGCATCAATTCTCTGGGGTATTTTAAATATATGCTCTCTAACTTGATACCAAGGAACTGATAAACTTTAGAAGTCTCTTTCAATCTGCAAAAGCTCTTGTAAGAATGGAGTATCTGTCCCTTTAAAGGTGGAGCTGAAAACCTAGTTTTTGTGTGTCCGAGAGACTGGGTGCTTCGATACCCACCTCTGGTTGGGAGCCTGCCTCTTCCAAGCACATTTCCTGCTCTTATTTGCCTCAAATCCCACTTCCCATTAGAGTTCTGGGCAACCCTGAACACTTTCAAGGCTCTGATGAGACCTGAACTTTCTGATGCAGGATGCTTGAGCAATCCCGTCCTTTGCTCTTTTTTCTGTTTTTTTCTTATTTGTCCTATTGACTTACGAACATTTCCAAATCATGGGGAAGAAGTTGGGTGGATGTTTGCCCAATAACTTTCAAGAAGGGACTCACTTCTCTGTTTCTGATACCCTGAGTCAGCTGCCAACACCTACTTTGGTTGCTGATCCTTTGTCACTTTACTCTGGGGAGTTCTGGACCAAGGCCCTGTGCAATCACATTAGGCTTCAGGGACACAGTCCCAAGTGGTCATCTGAGGAAAAGCACACGGCGACAGAGCTGCAGCTATTCTCTCATCCAAGAGATAGGTGGCCATGTGACAGTCCATACAAAAAGGAAAGGTGACACAAATAAAAGCACTGTCACCTCTCCCCCAAAGAGACACAAGTTGCAACATGAGAACAAATATTTATTTTTAAGTGGGCCGTCCAAACATATTTCTTCCTGGTCTGGAAGATGCTCAGCTACTGATATTTTTAAGATATGATGTTCCTTGTTTCCAGGGCACATTTCAAGCAAAACAATGAAACAGCATTGCAAGAATCTATGCAGCTTCTGTGTCCAGCTTTACCCAGCTTTTCTCTTGCAACGCTACTCTGTGCTTGGAATGGGTGACATCACCTCTCCTAGGGAGCTGACCCACTATCATACTGACCCCAGAGAAGGGTTAAAATTCCTTTCACTTTAGGGCTGGATTTAACAGATCTTCAACTCCACAGGGTACTGGGAATCTGTCCTATGCATTGCATTCCCGTTAAGATCTAGTATGATATTTACTATACAGTGAGTGCTCAACTGATGTTTGATGAATAAATTAATTATGTAAATGAGAATAAGAGACCTCAGTAAGACACCACCCCTCCACCCCCCTACCCCAGCATTCCCTTCATTTGTTCATTCAACAAATACCTACAATGCCAGGCACAGTGCTGACTATTCGTACAAAATGCAATGACCCAGATTCTGGCAGACAATGGCTGGGAACAAAGGCAGGATCTGGCGATCCACTTTGTTTCTCAAACCTTTCCTGAGGATGCCAGACATCCCACATCTGGAAGGAACAGAGAGGCCTCTACAAAGAGTATGAGAGACAGTCCTCGGCAGTAATGGATTGGTTGGACTATCTAAGATCTAAATTTTTAAAAACAACCTGCTCAAGGATGGCCATCCATTCATTTCTCTAGACTTTTCCTGAAGCTATTTTCAGCCTTTCTTACTTTTGATTAAATGAATTCCATGCATTTATTGTCTTTAGAGTAAAATGTTACTTGCTTTCATTTGTCCTAAAGTTTTCTCTGTAAGTTCTCTTAGTTAATCCAAATTGGGGTATTTTGGGACATGCCTGTATTACTCTAATCATAACTTCAAGGATTCTGGGCACTTTTCCTCTCTGTTTATCTTTCTAGACTCAAAAGCCATAAAGTCTGAAGTCTTACCTAACATAGCTCTGTCCTCTCTCTCCTACTATAATCTTGCTCTTCTGTTGCCCAATAAATCATGACCCTTCGAACCCAAAGGGATCTTATGCACTACCCCTCTCCCCAGCCCTCTTCTTTCTTATTTTCTCTCAGCCTTATTTTATAAATGAGGAAACTGAAGTTCAGAAATTGGAAGGTCAACAATCATGTCTTCCTTCCCAGCTCTCCCATGTAAAAACCAGAGCCACAGAGAATATCCTAGCTGCACAGGTCCGCTGCAGGAACAGGATAGCATTTTCTGACTTATTCCTGAGATCCTCGAGAAAGCCTGTGCGTTTGCTGGTGTCATGGTCCAAGGTGCCTATTGGATTTTAAGATACATATTGCCCAGTACTAGGTCGCTACCTGGCCTCTAATTAAAAAAACAGTTTAGATTAATATTTTCTCTCCATGTACATTATCTCATTAATAAATTGTGTATTATGCAGAGCAAAAATAGCAATGAAGATATTGAATCAATTCCAATCAAGAGTCAGTGATTTTTGTGACACATATTTGCACTTAGCTTGTGTCAGCATGAACATGGATTTTCATTCCCTCAACTAATAGCATTTGAAAAGTGTTCTAGAAGTTTGTCGCACGATGAAGGAAAGTCCCATCTGGGATTCCAAAAATGGCAAGTAGACAGGATAGAGTAGGTCAGAAACAGAACTAACGGTGATGACAGGGCCTCCAGGAAAGTCGAGTAGGTGGCCCCAACCCCGCAGAATGAAGTTGTCAACTCTTGCCTCTGAAAAGGAGAGCTTCCGGTCTTACCTTTTCTCCTGTAGGGCCTTCTGCAGCCTTCCACTGAGGTATTATTAGTTCGTGTGGTAGCTGGGGGCTGCCTTCCCCACTTCCTCCTGCCAACACAGGATGCACAACCATTGGAATCCCAGACCTCTGCACCCTAGCTGAGCCAGGCATGCACTGCCAACTGGGAAGAACCCTATGTTGGGTCATTAGAAGACCTGCTGGATTCCAAGCTCTTAGCACTTAACTATGGGTTAGGCACTCTGCGAGGTGTTGGCAATACAGTGCAAGACAGGGGTAGCAAGGTCTCTGTTCTCCTCACAGAGTTTATCTTCTAGAGGTGCAAGATGGACAACACAAATATTCTCAAATAGTACAACAGCAGGGTCATGGAATAAAGAGGCACTGAAGAAGGGGTCCCTGTTTTAGACAGGATGGCTAGCAATGGTGGCATTTAACTGAGACCCTAGGGATTAGAAAAAGGCAGTTGTGCAAAGATCTGGAAGAAGAGGGCCCCAAGTAGAGGAACTAGCAGGTGCAATGGCCCTGTGTGAGCAGAAGTAGACTTGGCCTGTGCAAGGAAGCAGCAGAAGGTAAAGGTAGCTAGAGTCCAGTAAATGAGGGGAGAAGTTGGTAGGACACATGGTCAGCAAGACAGCCATGGGTCTGACATCACAGAGGCCATGGAAAGTGTCTGGATTTTATTATAAATAGACCTGGAAAGCACTGGAGGGTTTAAACACAGAGCAATATGATCCGTATTCAGCTTTAGAGAGATTGGTAGGGGTGGGGGGAGGAAGGGAGAGCAGAAGCAGAAGGCAAGGCTGGAGACTTGCAGGAGCCCTGGTGAGAGAAGACGGTGCCTCAGACAAGAATGATTTCAGTGGAGAGGAATGAAGTGAATGGATTCTGGGCATATTCTGGAGGTCAAGGCCATGGGTAGTTATTTTAATTGTGCTTCAGTGTTCTCATCTGTAAGATGAAAATAATGATACCTGCCTGCCCATCTCACAGAATTACTGGGGAGAGTCACTGTGAAATTGCTCCTCAGCCCACAAAGCAGCATAGCATGAACCTGAGCTTCCTAACAGGAAGTGTGCATTTGGATGTCACTCCCTACTTTCCAAGTCAATCTCACCATCCAGCTCTTCTGCATCTTCATGACAGCCCTGGGAGGTAGGCTGCAGGATTCCTATTTTTTAGAAAGGAGTGAACTGAAACTTGTGGGAAACGAGACTTGTTCTAGGCAGTGGTAACCTCAAACACTGGTTGCACGCAATCTTAATAAAGGGTTATTTCCCCAAACCTAGCAAAATTAATCTGCCTAAGAATAGGCCAAATCATAGGACTCCTGGGGATGAGTTGAGGACTCCAAAATCTATTCTGTCTAAACCAACCACATAATCACATATAGAGTGGCAGGATTATGAGTGATTAACTTTCCTTTCAGATTACTGGTTTAATGTATTCTCAATCAAAATATATCCTAAAAATAATCTCATTAGACTTGTATCAGTTTTATCATACTGATAAAAATCAGAAGCAATGCATTCATTTATCCATTACATGTTTTCTGAATACTTAACTATGTGCCAAGCACTATGTTAGAGGCTTGATATACATAGGGGGAACCAGAGAGGCACAGTACAGTCCCTGCTCTAGGGGCTCTGATTAAGTCTAGATTCTTTGCACACAAAAAAGGAATTATATGATATTTAATGGAATATTTAAAAAATGAAATGACCTTTACCATGCAAAAAATACTGAAAGCAATCTAAAGGCTCAATAATGGAGGACCACAGTACATCTTTTCAAAAAAGTGTTCAAAACTTTGAGAAAGCAGGATGTCCTTTCAATGTCACATTGCAGCATTGTTTAACAGGCCCTTCCATGTGTCACTGAATTATCTAGGGGAATGTACCTTTGTCTGACTTTTTTTTATTTACCATTAATTAAAAGACTATACCCTGCTATGTGTTAACTGTGGATTTCTCACCCGTAGAGATGCAAATGACTTCAGCATAGCAGAAAGATAACGAAGAATTCTGGTGGTCTGGCCCCATGGGGCACTGACCGCTTTTGCATCTGTCCCAGCACAAGATTTCAACACTCTTCCTCCAGCACCTGCGCCACCCCTGTTCCTCTAATGCTCTGAACCAGCTTTGCCATTCCATCCACTGCCTCATTCACGAACCCAACGATTCTTTGCCACCTAGTCATCCTACCTTTGTATGAGAGTCATGTTTTTAACTTTTCGGAGATTATACTCCTGCGATTTCTTGATGGAATTTATAACCATTAAAATCATGTTCTGGAGAATTTAACGGTGTGGGAAATGCTCAGTCTGTGAAGTAGAAAATGCCAGGCACAAAACTGTGCATACGGTATGGTTCCAATTTTATCCGTATATATTTATAGGAACACACAAAGACCGGAGAAGAGAGGAGAGCCTTAGGAAAGCAGCGGAGAGAGAAGCCAAAAGCAGGGAGGGGAAAAGGGAAAAAAAAAAGAGAAGAAAGAGAGAGAGGGAGGGAAGGAAGCCAGGGAGGAAACGGCTGCTTTCTGCTAGCTCAGGACCTCCGCCACCTCCCAGGGCGTGCAACGTGGGAACAAAGCCGGGGCACCCCCAGGTCCCGGTCCCCCGGCCC